AATATGTGAAAATAATATATATATATATATATATATATATATATATATATATATTTATATATATATATTGTATTAATAACATTAAATGAATAAAATAATAAAGATAGAAATGAATATATATCACTCACAGAATCAGCAGGATGAGATACAATTGCACAAAATACACCAGCAATATATCCTGCAGCAAAGGTAACAACCAACTGTTCACCTTTTGAACATTCTTGCCTTGGCTTAGGAACTACATATTTGTATAAAAGTTCAACTGTACGTTCAAAACAAGCAAATTTCATCATTGTGTATGGAATTTGACGAAGCCATAAAGGTACAAGTCCTTTATAGAATCCAGTAATGCCTTCTTCTGCATATATCTTTGGCACAGCTTCTCTCAAAGTATTTGCAAATCCTGGTGTAGTTTGAATTTTAACCTGCAAAAATAATAGACTTCATATATTATACATAATACATATTAATTTTAATTTAAAAACATTTAATTTTTCACAATAATTGTTTAATAAAACTTGCAATAAATATGATATTGCACATGATATGAGGTAAAAATAAGAATTAGAAAAATAAAGAATAATGAAGAGGAACAAATGAACAATTTTGTTATTTATAAAACTATAAAAATGTATAGATAATATGAACATGGATTATTTTTGTGTCATAAAAAAGATAGTATATCGATCTAACTTCTTTTTTTTAAAGAAAATATTAAGAAAATTATATTAATTATAAAATAATTATAAAATAATTTATAATTACTTTAGCAGCTTCAAGAGGAGCTAGACCAATATCAGCAAAAAATTCTGCAGATGCTGAAGAAATTAAATACAACGATGTCCTAAATTCATATGCCATTTCTTCTCCAACAAGAGCCGAGTAATATACTTTAAAGACTTCATAAAGTCCAAATTTAAACATTCCTTGCGTAGAATAACCAAAGAATGTTGGAGCCCATCCTTTAACCAAACCTCGAGTTCCATCTTCCGCCAAAGTTACCTAAATAATAATATATTTGAAGTTAGTTTTAATATGTATTATTTATGCTATTAGTTATACTTATATTTTGTTCATATTTATAAAATATAATTAAAAATAGATTGCTCACTCGAAATCCATTAAAAACTGATTTGTATTTTGCAGGGTTTACTTGAATACGGCATTTTACTAAATCCAAAGGAGTAACAAGAGTATGGGTAATACCACATGACAAAATACCTCCTAAACCACATAGCATGAAGTACTTATTTGATCCAAATTCACAGCTATCTATACATAAAAAAGAATTTATAATCTAAATATATTAATCTACATGATATAAAATATAATGCTAAATATCTCAAGTATATTTAAACAAACTATATTTAATGTTTAAACTATATTTAGTATAAATGATAAATTTGTCAATAATTACTTATAAATATAATCCATTTATTAAAAACATTTTCAAACAATTTTAATGAACAATTTTCAAAATATTTTCAAACTGAATTTAATTTATTAGTCAATGTATATTATATTACGTATAACTATGTTAAAATAATTTTTATTTAATAAACAATAAAAACTGTCATTGATCAGCTGTTCAACAGTGCGTGCGAAATTCGAATTTGGCAGAATTTCAAAATTATGAACGATCTTATTATTTTGGCTTAACCTAATAATAAACTTTTCAAGTACAGTAAGATATCTTTAATTATTTCTTGGTTGCGGCCACTGTACTAATGCAGGCTATTATTTTTATTCAAATGTCAACCAAGGCTACGACGACGATTCGTACGCGCAATTTTCGACAAAATGGCTACTTCTTATGCAATCTTTTATATTGCAAATCAAACATAAAAAATTCTTCATTAATTCACTTTAAAATAATATTTTGTATTAATAACTAGAAATGCAGTAACTTTATTGAAAAATACATTGAAACTGAATACATATAAAATCTTAGCACATAATTATATGCCATGCGGTCAAATCTATTTGTTACATAATTTGATATAATTGAAAAAATTATAATAAAATAATCATTTATCATGATTAAATTACAATTTTATTAATATTTAAATTTTTTAGAAAATAAGTATTTGTTTTAAATATTAATTTTTATAAATTAATCAAAATAATATTAAGATTATAAAAAATTATAAAAGAACACTAAAAAGTATTAAAAGAACATTAAAAAATATTAAAAGAACATTAGAAATAATATTTTAGATTATATAATGATTTATCGATTTGAAAATTTTTTGAAATATGATTAATTTTTTTGATAAAAAAAAATCTTGTAATTATTTAAGTAAATGTCAATAATCTATATATAACGTTGAATAATTTTTTGATAAAAAATCATGAATTAATATCAATTAAATTAATTAAATTATATCAAATTACTTGCAAATTACTGACCGCCTGATGCGACAGAAGCAGCGGCAATGTGACGATTCTTAACCAGTGCTTGTGTTAGTTCATTTTGTCTCTGACATGTAGTTGTCACGAACGGTGTCCCAAATGGATTCATTTTAGCTATATCCAATATTGAGGGCCACATTTTGTGTCTATCACTTCACTTGCATCCACTACCAATTGATAACAATTTCTATACAATAATTATATTAGTTCAAGCTATTGGATACAAAAGCACAACTTTCGTCTCCGACTAATACGAAAAGAGTGATAGAGACTTTAACGGTAACGGAATCCGTTTAGTAACTTATGTCATTGATTATTATATTATAAGAAAGAAATCAAGTTTCTGCACAATAATGCTCTCTATTGAACACTATATGAACTAAAGAAAATTTCACTAAAAGTCAAACTTTAAAATATTCTGAAGCAAATCTATTTCAAATATATTTTTAATGATTACTACTTTATAATAAAAGTAAATATATATTTTTATAATTACAATATAATATTTTTTAATAAAAGTAAATAAGTTCATTACAATTAAAATTACATAAAAAATTATGTATATTTTTATTAATTTGCAAACTTTGAGATATACGACAAACAAAATTCCAATATTATTATTTCGTAATAAAACTAATAAGGCATGTGCTTCAAACGAATTAACAGATCTGGTAGATCCAAACATGGTAATAAGTTATTATAAATATATTATATTTTATGAAAGTTGTACAGAAAAATAAAAATTAATTTATATATATATTACTTTTTGATGCAGCCAATTTCGATTGAAAATCCATATAAAAAGAAACAGCAATTATGTATTTTATGTAAATTAAACATTGAACCTGATTATAAAAATGTACGTTTATTATCTCAATTTCAAAGTCGTTATACAGGTAGAATTTATGAAAAACATATAACTGGATTGTGCGAATATAAACAGAAGAAAATAGAACAAGAAATAATAAAAGCACAACATGCTGGTAATAATGTCAGTTATGTTTATTGTTTATATGTATTTTATAATATTTTGTAATATTTTATTGTGTTTTTATATTTTAGGTTTAATGGGTTATATGACTAAGGACCCTAAATTTTATAATGATCCAATGTTATTTGATCCTAATTTTCCATTTAAACCACATAAGTATTAAATGTAAAATATATGTTAAATATATATGTATTATAAAAACAAGTAAAGTATATATTATATATGATGTTTTCTCTGATATTTATTCAATTAATAAAATGTATCCTCATCAATAGAAAAACAAACTATATTAGGATTAATATTAAATGAAGATAAAATTTCAGATAATTTTATTGGTTGGTTATCATTTTTTTCTTGTAAATATTTTTGATAATCAATAAGAACATTCTGACAACATGCTGTCCATTTTTTTATAACGCTTTCTAAATTTTCAGCTTTGTTCTTTAATTACAAATATTTAAATGATTAATATTTAATAATAATAAATAAGTTTTAAATGTAATTAATATTATCTTTTACCTTTTTCTTATATGATAATGTAGTTTTTAAAATTTTAATAGATTTTTCCTTTTCTTGTATTTTTTTCTTCAATGATTCCAAGTCTACTTGATATAATTTATTTTTTACTTCAATTTCTGTTTGTTTATTATTATTTTCTTTATTTATACATAATTTTTTAGGAGAAGGTGTTTGTTGATAAATTAGTCTTTTTGCTACAGATATTTTTCTAATAATGTTTTTTAATAATGAAAATTAATGAGAATATCATTCTCAAATTTCAAAAATGTAATAATTTTTTTTTTATATTATAATTATACTTACGATGGTGTTTCATATGTACTTAATTTTGAGATATTTATGTTATTGTTACTTTGAGGTGTACTAAATGGAGAACGAAAAGGTTTATTTACACCTTTTCCATTTTTGAATGGCTTAGCACTCATACTCCTGAAAATAATGTATACTTAATTAATATAAATAATGCTACTTACTTTTTATGTAACATATATTAAAATAATTCGATTAAATATTTTATATTTAAATATTATTTCTACTATAAAAATATATTTTTCTTTATAATTATATTTAACTAAATAATATTTATAATAATATTTATTTAATATATTTAATTAATAATTTTAATTAAATAACTTCAGATTATTCAATATCAATAATACATTTTATATCTATTATATTACATTTTATACGATTCTACTTCTTTTTTAAAGAAAATATGTTTTGATGAATGTTATTATTATTTTATGTTATTCTAAATGTACTATAGCTAATTTATAATATTTTCTTAAATATAAAAATAACATTCTTAAGTTGCAATATTTATATATCAATATAATAATTATAAATATATCAAATATAAATTTAAAACAAATAATTAGAAATTTTGAATCTTAATTTAACATAAATTTAATATATAATGTTTTTAATATTAAGTTTCCACTCTATATTTATATAGCTCATTGTTATACTTCATTGTACTCTAACCTCTATAAGCGTGAGACGCCGACTAAATACAATTGTTTAGTACACAAAAAGTACTATTAAATATAATATAATAATTATATCATTGTTTTTAAAAATTAAACTTTGAGTAAGTTTATTTAGTTTTATTATTATATCGATTTTATATTGCATAGAATTTATATAATTTTATTAATATTTATATTTTATTAATATTTATTTATGAAGATTTTAAAAGTATTTTTTACATTAAAAAATTTTTTCATTTATAATAGCAATGGATATTAGGCCAAATAATACAATTTATATCAATAATTTAAATGAAAAAATAAAAAAGGATGAATTAAAAAAATCCTTATATGCAATTTTTTCTCAATTTGGTCAAATATTGGATATTGTAGCTCTAAAAACATTAAAAATGCGTGGACAAGCGTTTGTTATTTTTAAGGAAATTGCTAGTGCCACAAATGCTTTACGATCAATGCAAGGATTCCCATTTTATGACAAACCAATGGTAAATATTAATCATAAAATAACTTTTTATTAATTAAGTAATAAAACTTAAAATATTATAATTATTTTTATTTTAGAGGATACAATATGCAAAAACAGATAGTGATATTATTGCAAAAATGAAAGGCACATATGCAGAACGGCCTAAAAAACCAAAACGAGTTGTACCTGCAGCTGATGAAGAAGCTAAACGTGCTAAGAAACGTGCTAAAGAACAAGCTAAACATTCACAACAAATTGGTTATCATACTGGTGTACAACAACATCCAGGTTTAGTCAATACAGCTGTACCTGAACAACCACCAAATCAAATTCTATTCCTAACAAATCTACCAGATGAAACCAGTGAAATGATGTTATCAATGCTTTTTAATCAATTTCCTGGTTTTAAAGAAGTACGTTTAGTACCAAATAGACATGACATTGCATTTGTTGAATTTGAGAATGAAGTACAATCAGGAGCTGCAAAAGATGCTTTACAAGGATTTAAAATTACACCTTCTCATGCAATGAAAATATCATTTGCAAAAAAATAAAATATAGTATGGTTTGTATGAAAATATTGTTAACAAATGGAAAAATGTGTGTGTGTTGAAATAATCTTATTTAGAAATTTATAAAAATACATATAAATGTAATTAAAGATTTTTTCGGACGAAAATTTATAAATATAAGTTAAAAATATGCTATATAGATTCAAGAATCACATGTGTACAAAATTTTACATAATGTATACATATAAATCAAACTTCACACTGTAAATAGTAATTAAAAAAATATATGTCATTTTTTCAGCAATACTTTAGTTACATAAAATTACTTTTAATTTAATTTGATAATAATTTAAAAACCTATAAAAATTTTTTTCCATATAATATAAATTAATTTAAAAAGTTACTATAATAATTTAAATTTTTAGTTAAATTTTTATCTTGTATATTAATTATTAATTTTCACTTAATTTTTTTATATTAACATTATTAAAAATATGTATAATTAGCGATTATTAAAAAATATATATAATTAACATTATTGAAAATATTGTTTTAAAATATAAAAATAAAAATTACATATTTTTAAAAATATAAATAAATTTTAATGTTATAATGTATTGTAAGAAAATTTTTAAGTTAATTATTTTCTCAAATATAAAAAAATTTATATATAATAATTTTACGATTATATCTATAAATTAATAATAATTTAAATTAAGATACGAAATTAATATACATAATATTCTTTTATTGTAATTATATTCCCGCCAAATAACAGATCTTATAACTTTCATAAATATTATTATTCATATGAATTTTTTAATATTTTATAAAACAAGAAAATAATTTATAAGTTTTTAAGATTAAAAAATTCTTTTTATTATAAATAATAAGAAATTAAGATAAATACGATTTATGAAAAATTGTAACTTTAAGTAGTATCATAACATTTTGGCGGGAATCAGTTGGCGTGTTGAGTAAAGAGTGGGGGAATGCTTCTTGAGATAGAGAACGAATCGGAGTACAGTGTATCATCTCGATCAGGTCAGTCGCGTCTCGCTATTCGCGCAGTGAATTGTGAGTTGTTGCGTTACAAGGTGTTTTCAGAGTTTGCTTCGTGCAGTCGACGCGCGCGATAGTATTAAAAGGACGCTGAGAAAAGAAAAATTAGATAACTTGCGTTCTGGACATTCATAAAAGAATATTAAACATTTTAATATATAACGTATATAGAAAAGCACTTAGTCCCATTTTCTTACAGTACGACGCGCGCGCCGACTGAACGATTGCCTTTGTCTTCATATACACGAGAAATTTTGAGGTGAGTGCTTGTCAATGACTTTTTCTCCAGTAAATATTAGTCTTTCGAATGGTATACGTATTCATTGTGTTGAAAGATTAAGAAACTCATAAATGATTTTTTCAACGATTTTTTAATCAATCTTTTACGCGGAACCAATTATTACTTACAGAGATATTTATTCATTTTCTTATAAAGAAATTGGTGATGGACGCTACCACGACTCTGGTGTTGCCATGATTTGTCGATCATGGCGTCCCTAGCAGCCAAGTGACGCTATTGTATGTGTTCCAAATAGCGGTTTTCCATACAGTTATTTTTTCTTCATATAAAAAAAATATTAAAAATTGTCACTTCCGTTATTATTGTGTAACTTGTCCAATATTATATATATGAAGAAATTAATAATATATAGGTTGTTTAATATATTTGAAAATGGCGGGCGCGGACATTTCAGAAAGCTCTCATTTATTGTTGTAAATAATTTTTTTTTCTAAATTAATAATGATAATAATTTATTATTATTATTATTATTCTTTTATAAGAAAAAATTACTTTTAATTTATGTATGAGATTATTAAAATATTAGATATAATTAATTTTGCATAATTATTTTATTCGGTTACAATTAACCGGTTACAAAACCGCCACCTAATGATATTCGATATGAATGTATTAGGCGCGTAATTTGTTAAACTTTACTATTGCTCATTTTTTATTTATTTATAGTAAAATCTATATATACATTAGTATGGTTATCAAATTGTTGTTTAAACTAAAAAAAATGAATTAAATAAATTTTATGAGAAATTTTAAAAATCGATAATTATGCAAAACTTTCTATATTTCCCTATATGGAACTTTTTTATATTTTCAATATGAAATTTTTGAATATTTTATTTCAAAGTGTGTGGTAACATAATATTTAATTTTATAATAAAATATAAATATAAATTAACTACATATTTATTTGTAAAAAATATATGTATATAATAAATTAAGAGTACAGAGCCTTTTGACGTAAATTCGTTTTCGTTCATCTTTGTATTTTCCTTCGAAATTAATCTATTAAATTTTGCATTAAAAATTAATAATTATAAAATTACTACACACACACACATATATATAATTAAAAATTTTTGAATTAATGTTTATATTGTAAACAAAATTTTTAATTATACAGTGATATAAAGAATTAAAAATGTCAGACGACAATTCGCCTGTTGTCGAGGAACAAAAGAAGAAACGAGGTAGACCAGCAAAGACAGATAAGAATACTGTTAAAGAACCAAAAAAGAGAGGCAGACCTGCCGCAGATAAAAATAATGCAGTACGCACTGCAAAATCAGATAATGAAGATGATACATCGCCTGTACCTGTTAAAAAAGGAAGAGGGCGACCAAAAGGGTCTCATAAAAAAAAGGTATGGATATATTTTTTATTTTAATTACTCATATGAAAGAGTATTATAGAATTCATAATAAAGTTATCTGAGAATAAGAAATCATTTATAAAAATTGTCAATAAATGTTATTACTTTTTTTATTATATTTTAATTTTAGAAAGTATTAAAAAAGAAGTTTTATTTATTTTTTCATAATATAAGATAATATAAGAATTAAAAAATATGTTAATTACAGCAAGGTTCACCTAAAGGAAACCCTTCAGGACGAGGTCGTGGTAGACCTAAAAAGAAAGAAGAGAAATTAGAAAGTACTGGAGAAGAAGAAGATGAACAGGAAGAAGAGGAAGAAGAGGAGGAAGATAATTAAATGTAAAAAAATAAATTCAATGTATGAGAATTATTCTTTGAAGTTTTTAAAAAACTGATAATTTAAAACTTATAAGTTTGCTTTTTATATCATAATCTGCAAATTGAAATAGTAAAGTGGTAACACATTAGTTTTAAAAAAAACTGCTCAAATTCCAAGGAAGTTATATGAAAAATATAATTTGTGATATGTTTGCAAAAAAAATGCACTGCAACATGGGTTGAGAATATGTAAAGCACTTTGTAATATTTACCTTATATGTTTTTATTATAATTACAATTAATATAATAATTATTATTAGTATTATTTTTATTTGTATTATTATCATAATCATTATATTTTAAGTATTAAAATAAAATGTACAAGTATTTTAATGAAAAAAATTTTTAACTAAAAATTCAGATCTCATAAACTAACTTGGAATTAAGATGAAGACTTTATCTAACTTTAAGATGGATGGTGTATAATTACATCATATATTTGTTACCTTCTTTGCTCCTATGTATATGTATTATAATTCTTAAAGTCTAAAACTTCATACAAATTTAATGCTGTACTGTAATACTTCTTATGTAAGTATATCATGTACAAGAAATGTTCTTTTTTAATTACACTTAAACAAGTGAACATTAACATTTTTGAAACAAGCATATGTGTGAATGTCAAATTTGTATTGAAATAAATAAACTTATAAAATGACTCTCTTATTAATTGTAACATGACACAAACATATACCTGCGATTAACGATTATATATTTTTTACATCAAAATTGTTTTTAAAATTTTTATACTACATTATAATGCTAAAAAAACATTTATGAAAGACAAATGCATTTTGTTTGAAATTTCTTAATCTTTCAATATTACTTAATAAACAGTTAGAAAAAAGAAAATTAACATTATAATGTATAATTATTAGATTTATATATAATTATTAGTTAATAGAAACAAAAGTGTTGATAATATTTGGAAATATATATTTGTTTCTTTATGTTGAACATTAAATATCTATTTTTTCTTATTCATCACTAGAATCTTTCAATATTGAATATAAATAGAATAAAATTTAAATTCTTATTATGATAATTTTTAATTAAACAATCTATATTTTATTTCATTAACGTTATATCTTTAGGAAAGGATATAAAAACAAAATATATGTAAATAAAGTATAAGGAAGCATAGGAAAAATTGTATTATTTATGAAAAATTGTTATGAACAGAATATAATGAATATAAATAATAAAATAAAAAACTGTTATAAACAGACAATAAATATAAATAATAAAATAAAAAACTGTTATAAACAGAATACAATGAATATAAATAATAAAATGAAGTCTTAATCATTTTGGTTTTTTTACTCTCTATTATGAAATTGTTAAATTAAATTCATTTTATAGATATTATATTAAAATAAATAAAATAAATCCTAATCCACTATTATAATTTTGGAGATATATTTAAACTCTAATATTTAAATTTTTTTGAAATATTTTTTCATATATAAAATTTATGAATTTGAATTTTCTTTTAAATTGAAAGATATATACAAACTATTTTATTAAATAAATATAGAAATCTACTAAATGTGATTTTTAATCTAAGACAGTTGTAAGTAATACAAAGTTTTTAAACTATTACAAATACTTTGTCAATGATTTCCAAAGAGTTCAGCATTTTCTTCTGTATCCATAGATTGATATCCTTGCTATAATGTAAAATATTTTAATTCTAATAAGATATGTATTAATGTAAACATTAGAATTCTTGCACATACACGTCTCTGATGATTATTATAACATTCTTCTAATAATTCAGTTTCCCAATCATCTTCTTCTTCTTCACCAGGATCAAAATTATACATTGGCATGAGTCTGTGTCTTAAACGTTCCAATTTTCTTTTTCTTGATATAATTATTACCTTTAAAACCATAATATATTATTAAAATATTTGCATTTTATTAAATATTATAAAATAAATTAATATTTAATAGTAAAATATTTTACTTTTAGGATTTTACTAATAGGAGAAGCTACAAACTAACAAAACTTTAAATATAATATTACAACATTAATTTGCCAATAAACTATATTACAAAAAGGTAATAATACCTAAAGTAGAAATATTTATCCAAGTATTATAATTTGATGAATATTTTTTATTTTATTTTTTTTTGTTTCTGCAAATAGAAGTTAAAAGAAGATTATAATTTAAATACAAAAGTGATATCGCTACCCATACCACAGCTGATAATATAATAACAAAGACCACTACACCAAGTGGTACAAAAATGTATTCTATTCCATCTGGAGGTCCAAATTCATCAAAAATTTCTGTTGTTGTAGATACATATATATTGGTACTTGAAGCTTCAAAGGAAATTACTGTACTATTGGGCAATGACGTTATAGCCTTAGAAACATTCCATAATTGAATATTTCCATTTTCTTCTGTAGAATTCATATATGTTTCAGATATTTCATTTGATGTATTTGTCATTATATTAGTATAATTTTGAATATTATCAAGCAACATGCTAGATGTTATTGAATTTGTAACACTTGTATTCATCTCATTCATTGTTATTAATTAGAAAACAATATTTGACTTTTCATGAGAATAATTCTATATATATTTTAAAAAAAGTCATTAATATATACATTATTTATGTTAGAATTAAAGAAATTTTTCAAGATATGCAATGATATACAGTTTGATTCTATTATCACTTGTCTATTTTGTTATACAAAAAACGATAAATAAGAAGCATAACAATAAATACGTTATTATCAATGCATTAATATATCATTACATGAAACACTATGGTTCTATGTGCTTTGAATGTCAAGTATATCACTTTATCTCACATATTTGTAATTATGAATTATAAATCGTTTAAAATAAAAACCATATTTATTGGCTTGAGTTTATAAATGAATAAATAATGCATCTTGATGATCGTATTATAGTATCTATAAAATAATGTAATAAAAAATTCGCTCCATTGAAATATTGCAACTCAATTTTTGTGCACGTTTTTTTAAAATCTTTCTTATTTATTAAGAATTTATTGATCACTTGCACACTGATAAAAATATTAAAATATTTATAAAATATAATATATCTTTATTTTTTTTATAATTGAATTGTTGAAATAAATATTTTTCGTTCAATCTATTAATTTTGCAAATGAACCATAGTTTAATTAGGGACATGATATTCACTCCTTTGCTCAAAGAAAAATTTGATTATGTCTTCCTTTTTAGTTTTAACATTTCATTTTAATATTGCAATGCGATTTATTCGCATAAATGTACTGTCTGAAACATATAATAAACTATCGAACTATTCTGAACTGAAACGTATTATTTATCGATTTCTTATCGAGATATTTTTTTATATCGATTTTAATATCTTAGGTATGAAAAAATAAAAATGATTAATAAAAATATAAATACATATTATATATTTTTTAAGTTATTTGTTAATGTATTTATTATAACACATAGTGTTACATTGAGAAATATCAATTTTTATTTTTTAAATTGAAAATAAATTAATAATTTATATTCTTATAATTTTTTTATATAAGATATATAATATATTTATTATAAAATTTATTATATAATTATTTATTATAAATTCATAAATAGTTTATGTAAATTATTTTGTAAAAATATAAAAAAAATCATTAGAATTATTTTTAAATTTAACTATATGCAAAAAAAAATAATTTGTTTTTTATTATTTATTTAATTACAAATATATTAATAAATAAAGATATATTAATAAAAGATAAATAAGTAGATGAATTAATCACAATTTTTTGTTATTTGTTATAAATATTTACATTTTAGTAAAATTAAATGATATGTCATTGAAACATAAATTTAGTTTTTTTACTTTTTATCATCTAGATTTATTGATATTTAATTGCTGTTTAATTATTGAAATAAATTTCTTTCTAACTTCTTTTTAATTAATTATTTTTAAATTCTATTTTCATATTTAAATTTCGATTTATTATAATGGATAAAAATATTTCTAATATATTTATATAATTCACAAATGATACTACAATATTTGTTTAGAAAAATATATTTTTGGGAAATTACATAAAGTAGGATAATTGTATTTTTACATATGAAATTCATAAAATTTCCTTCTTTATTAATTTACCAATAGTATGAATTATTTACGTAAAAAGTTCAACAATATCTCTTTATATAAGTACTATCTTATAATAATAACAAAAATATTTAACACTTTTTGTACTAAAAGAATAGATCTGTGAAACATGTATTTTACAACAAACATAAGTTTGTATGATAAAAAAAATAAAAATTATAAATACATAACAAAGAAAAGTATTAATAAAAATTATTTTACTAATATTCGAAACTGAAGATCTTGCATTCAAAATAGAAAATCTCAAAACAAATTATAATACATAAATTTTTTAGTTATAGATACTAAAAAAAATCAGTATTTCTTTGTTCAAGTGTGATAAAAAAAAAATTGAATTTTTCACATAATCATTATAATAAATAATTCCATTATTTTAACAGTGTTCAAAATATATTACAACTTTTATAGTGCTTATACTATAAAATCATTTGTATTTGCAATTATTTCCTAAATCTTAATTATATTAAGTTTTGTTTGTTGCCATATATCTGCACTCTGTTTCATATTTTACAATTGTTTTTCATTAACTTGTTTTTAACAAGTAAGAGAACTGCACGAAACAAGAGATCAGTCATTATTAGTAAATAAAATATTTGTAATTTTATATTCATTTTTTATACAATAAAGATACTACATAAATTACATTATTTAAATAAATCATTTACAAAAGAAGAAATAACAAGTGTAAATAGTTATGTTATTTGTTACTTTATATCATTGAAATTTTTTATGAATGATTGAAACATTTTAAATGTCGAGCTTAATATACAATACAAAGTTAATTATATTTTCCATAAATTCAAATTTATGAAAGTATAAAAAGTTTTATTTAATTAAACTTTTGAATTTATTGTTAATAATCTTAATTATCACATTTTATTGTGAATTTATTAAAAATTTATAAATTTTCTTTAAAATTCTTGATTAATTACAATAAACTAGAAGGAAAATCTTGTGCTGTTCATTTTCATTGTTTCCAGCAGTTCTTTTATAGTACAGATCTACTGATACACAAAGATTTAGGAATCTTTTTAAGTCTTGATAAAGGTACATAAGGTGAAATCCAACACAATATTATATATCCATTGCATAATTAAAAAGCTATCACCTGCGACGGATTTGTACAATCTCCTATTGTCATTCTGTACATAGCCATTTCTGTTATTCCATGATAATGAACAAAAGCTGCTGCAATTACTAATACATGGAAAATTTGATGACTCTGAAACTGTATAAATATAATTTAAAAATTTTTCAAATAATTATAAATTACATGTTTAAAAAATAGAAAAATATTTACCCAAATATCGAACTTGCCAGGGAAAAATCGTTCAGGTACTCTTAATGCATAAAACATTGCACCTAAGATATATAAACATCCCATTAATATTAACCATCCAAGAGATGCTTGACTAATTGCTTTAAACCAACCCTCTGCAATGGCATAATGAACTGCTGGTATTACCTAAAAAAAAATATATAATATCTCAATATTATTATGTCTAATACAATTTATTCTTCTTCTTAAAACTTTAAATGTTTTTTGATACAAGATTATATAATATAATATGATACTCACCCCACTAAGACCAAATCCCATAAAAACACCTGCTCTTAATGGTCTGTAACTTGGTTCACCAAATCGTTCCCAGAACGATACAACTATACTTGTTACACCAAGTATTACAACCACTGATAAATAAATAAGCTTAGGTTGATAATCACAGTAAAAACCATAATAAAGCCATGGTACAAAACTACCCATAATTAACATAGCTATTCCACAATAATCTAATTTTGAAAATAATTTTCCAACACATTCGCTATGGCAGTGTACAGTATGAAAGGCAAATGACATTCCTAAACATATAATAGCACCAGCAAAAAAGGTACCAAATACCAATTTTTCTTCCAATTGTATTTCTATAGGAGGTTGTGTTATGAAGAATATAGCTATGCCAATAAAAGCCATGCATCCTATAAAAAGAATAAAATATTAATCTATTAAAAAAATGCTAAAAAAAAAGAAATAAAATATCATTAAAAATAAAAATTAATTAAAAATTACCAAGTAAATGAGTCCAAATATTTCCAGTTTCTGTATGAATACGAAATATACTTTTGAAACAAGCATAAAAAGATGGTAAAGGTGGTCTATGGCCAGCATGTAAGAAATCATTATCTTGTAACCATTTTGGAAGATTTCTGAAATGACATTGCTTCCACGATGCTTCCCAAACCTTAAAAAAATAATCAGTTAATGTCTTAAAAAATAATTTCTCAATTTATAAAATAAAGATATAATAAATTTTTTATTTTATATTAATTATATATTATATTAATTACCTTACGAACAAATTCCTCTGCTTGTTCTGCTGCATTGTGAGCTAATGCACCAAGATCAATTTCATCACTTAACACACCAGCTTTTAATACTTCTGTCATCTATAATATATATTATTATTATTATTATTATTATTATTATTATTATTATGATTATTATTATTATTATTATTATGATTATATTATATTATATAATATATATTATTAAAATATGTAATATGATCATATTTATATTAATTAAAGCATAATGAAAAATTTATTATTGAAATACAAAATAAAATAAAATAAAGTAAAGTAAATAAGTATAATAAAATAAAGTATGTAAAATAAATAAAGTATAAATTAATTTATTATTAAAGTAAAAATATAAAATAATTAATTATTAATAATAATTAGAATTATAATACTTCGCAATCCAAAAGATGATCATCTTCAGGAGTGGAAGGTAATGGACAACCAACTCCATCTTCTTCTTCTGCTAAACAACTTGCATCATCATCTTCTAATAATTCCTTAACTTCATGTAAACCTGGTACTTCACTGTTTAATAATACACGCTCACTCCATGGAATTCTATGTCGAATTTCTGTTTCTGATATTACATTATCATCATTCCTTTTGTCTTCCACAATGACATCTTCGTATTGTGACATATTGTGGAATTATAATTATTAATTTCTAAAATGTATCAAATTATTTTAAAATAAAAATATTATAATTTAATATATATTCTCTCAATAGTTAAAAAAATATTATTATTATTTAATTATTAATTAAAAATAAGAAATAATAATATCAAATATTAATAATACAATATTAAATAAAGATTTGTTATTATTGACGTTAATTATAAAATTTTCTTGATAATAAATATAATTCAACTTAATTGTAAGAATCAATTTAAAATAAAATAAGCGAAATAATACAATAACAAAATATCAAGATTAGCAAGATTCATGAAAATAAATTTTGTCGAGCGTTGTACTATTATCTAATTACAGTACGATTTTTTTAAAACAATAAGATTTTTTATTATAATGAATTATATTAAATTTATACATACAATTATTACGAAAGAAATTAGCAA